CACTACAAAAACTAAAAACTAATTTCCCCCTACTGTTACTCACACCTTCTTGTCAACTGTTTGAAATGGGCCACCCTGATTACCACTACAAAAGTGATTTTTTCTCCTGTTGAAAATAGCGCACTTTAATTGAATTGTCTCGTTAGAACTGACCCCCCACTTGCTAAGGCAACTCCCATCTTTTCACGTACTGTGTATATACACATCTTCCTGCTGTATTTTCCACTGCATGCATCCGATGAAATGGGTTTTAGCCCACGAAAGCTTATGCCCAAATAAATTTGTTAGTCTCTAAGGTGCCACAAGTACTCCTCGTTGTTTTTGCTGATATAGACTAACACGGCTACCACTCTGAAATGGGGGAGTTTTTCTTGGTGGTTCTTTGGTTTCTCTGAAAATATTTCACAGGACTTTGCTGACAGCACTTATAGGACAGCTTTAAAACTTTTTTGGAAAACAGCAGCTGTAAGATGCATGAGTGGCATTGTAGGCATATAAATTGGTCATTCTTTAAGGAACACAACTCATTTAAACCAATCAGATTGAAGGATGCATTCCATAAGTCTGTATGTGACATTAATTCATGGAAAGTTGGCATGGAGAGATGGTGATTTGTACAGCTGTCATTAGTCAATACAGTCCTGTTAATTCGCATTCATCTCACCATCTCCAGAGGAGATGGAGGAAGGTACAGTGGGGGACATCTTCCCAGCCCTAAGTTAAATTAAATTCAACAAGTTTAACACATCTGCTGTGAGGAGTGCAGACTTTTCCCTCAATCAGTTACAATATGGGCAGTCCACTAACAGCCAGATGAAGTAGCAAAGTGAGTTTAATTTCAAGATGCAAAAGGCTTGTATGGTTACTTTATAAAGTGGAAAAGGTACCAGCAATAAAAAGTCTTTAGACAAGCATGAAAATGGAAATTCAGAGTCAATGGCTTAATGCACGATTGCATTCAACCAGATCTCTCTCTCTCTCTCTCTCAGCACTCTTATCCCAAGGGTTCGTATTTCACCTGCAGAGTCAGACTCAAAAAGAACCTTATCTGAATTTGTTTTCCTGATTGTTGAATTCATTTTAGATCAGTTAGGAAAAGGGCAAAGAATAAGATTTCTCCCTTTCTGTCTCTCTTTTGTTGTTTATTTCTCCTAGAAAAAGTCAGCTTAGATCCAGTGTCCAATGTGCAGTGAAGTTCTGTTTTTAACCAATGTTCCAGTTGGGGTGACTGATTCCATGTTTATTTATTATTACGTGAGTCAATAGAACCATGGGGAGAGGGGGGAAGAGACAATGTAGCACCACTGAGAAGCTTGAGAAATGAAGCGATTTTCAAAAGATTGACGAGAAGTCAAGCTTTGACAGTTTTGCTTGGAATTTTTAATTGACTTCTATTTTCACCCAGACACAACAGTGAAGACTGGCCAGTGAGGAACATTCATTGGCCATCGGCAGTGGAACCAAGTGGTGGTGGGAGTCACGGCTCATGCAGCCAATTAAAGAACATTTGGAGAATGATAAGAAGAGAGTTAACCAATAAGAGTGTTTGTTTTCTCCAAGGACTTCCATTATCTAACAGAGTCACTGATTAGCGGGCATGTTCCATAAACACCAGCTGTTCTCCCTGGGATTTTCTCCAAAGCAACTGACAAAGCTATAAATGGATTTGATATATCTAACCTTTCACACAGAGGCAAAGTGGGGAGAAGTTTTAACTAATTAATCTAGAGTTTGCTCCCCCAATACAATGGAGACCATGTTACCCAAGAATGTGTATCCAGAGACACTTTGAAGAAAATTCATTAGAAGAAGATTTTTTTAAAAGGAAAAGAATGTGAGGAGCAGAATAAAAAGGTCATGCTGAAAAAATGTAAAGTAGGAGCAGCTGAAACATGTAAATTAATGGCATTGCTACTGCCAAGGCCTGCAGTGTGGAACAGGTATTAAATATTCCAATTATGACTGCAGTAGGTTTGTATTATTGTTATAATTGGTTTTGAGTTAGCTTCCAAATGAATCCGTGGAGAAAAGATAATGCCTATTTTAAAATATTTTTGAAATTATCCATAATGATATAGGTATTCTGTTCTTTGTTATCTTTTCTCATGCCTCCTTTTGTCCCAGTATATCACTTTCTTTTCTTCTTCTAATTGTGGAGCTTTGCCAAGCATCATTCACATGTCTCCAAAACAATGAGAGCAAGATATCTTTTGTCTTGTGTAAAGAGTTTTGAATAAGATAGGCGTAGTGGGCTGTTTTTATTCACTTTGCCATGCATGCAGCTCATATTTTGGATCCTGCATTTGAAAAGTTGTGAATTGACCTGTTCAGTATTCCTGAATCCTACGATCACATTTTTAGTCTTAAATCTGGGTTCTTATGTAGCACCTTTCACATAAGGATGTCAAAGCGTATTACAATCATCAGCTAATGAAATCTCCTGAACTGTTATATCCATTTCACAGGTGGGGAAATAGGGGGGTAAAGGGTGATGTTCCCAATGTCACAAAATGAGTAACCAGAATAGAACACGTGGGTATTGCAAGAGCCCCACTTAATCTGTTATTGGCTTTATGACTAAGGATCAGATCCAGCTCACAGAGAAGTCAAAGGAATTGATTTCATTTGCTTCTAGGGGATTTGGATTAGGATCTATATACTTCAAAGTATGGTCAGAAAACTGATGCATCTTCCTACCTAACAGACCTGCTATTTGCAAAACAGACTGATCACTGTTACAGCTGCTTCCTTCTTTTGTCTATTTCAGAGACACTTTTAATATGAGAGACGGCACATCAGATAAATAACATGGTACAATGTGATTTTAATGCGGTCCCAAAGTTCAGCTTTATCTACACTATATAAATTTGGTGGCCAGGATTCATAAATGAGCTCTTATTGCAGGTTTAAAAAAAGATGAGGAGGAGATTGTTATTAAACACTTACCCCATCCAATCCCATAGTAGTATAAATGCTTGCTCTCTTCTGACCCAAACACTTTGATCACCATGCTGTAGAGATGAAATCCTTCCACCAGCATCCAAGCAAAAGCACTCAGGAAGAAGAAATGAAGGAGAATGGCCAAGATTTTGCAAGGCACCTACCATATGAAGCAAAAAAATAATAATTTGTCAAAAATCTTAGTAAATTTTTCCCATAATCAGTTGGGGTTTTTTATGTTTTCACACTATACAAAAAACCACACTAGAGTGAAAGGATAGTAAAGAAAAATAATAAAACACAAGAGAGATAGCTTCAAAGTGACATCTCTAAGGAGCCCAGGCTGTAATTAGAAAAACTAGTTGACAAACCCATTTGTATCAGATGGGCTGAAGAGAACCAAACCAGATGCCTGTTTCTGCGCCGCCCTTCCCCCCGGCATACCAACCACTCCCACTGAAGTCAATGAGAGTTAGAGGCATTCAAGAGTGCAGCATCAACCCCCCTGGTGAGGTAGTTCCAGAGACAACTGAATATGAGATAAATAGGAGATTTGGAAGCAAGGGGGTGACATGACTTGTGGTAGGAGGAGGAGAAGCTGAATTTCTCCAAGGGTTTAGTGAAAGTGCATGTGGCTTTCAGGAGATATCTCAACAAAGTGTTAGATTTAACTCAGGCCCTGGTTTTTAAAAGCTATTTAGGTGTTTTGCTGTACTCAGCATTGCAACACCTAACCAGGTTAGGAGCCTAAGTTTTATTTTCAAAAGTGATTTAGGCACTTAGGAGCCCAAGTCCCACTGACTGTCCTAAATCAGTTAGGCATTGCAATGCTAAGCACAGCAAGGCCTAAATACCTTTAAAACTCTGGGCCTTAGTTTCTAACTTTATCTTGCCAGTGAGTCCCTCTTTAGTCTGCTGTTCCTCATATTTAAAATAGGACATTTGGACTCAAACGTATTGTATTTCCAATTGTGTCTTTCCCATTAGCCATTCAGCAAGTCCACAACACTCTCCATTCACTACATTACATGTTAAAAAATGTCCAAATTGGCTTATAATGAGCCATAGTTAGGTCATGAGTTATAATTGCCTTATGGTAGT